TTTTCTGGCGCCCAACAATGCAGAATTTCATTTGATAAACACGTTTAGATTGAATGGTAATTTATAATCAGTCACAAGAACGTCGAATCTGAATCACTTGAAAAAAACACGGGGGTGCTTAACTTTTTTCCAGGTGTATATTTTATCTCTAAACAAATCTCTAATTTTGATGTTACGAGATCTTCCTTTACTTTAATTAGTTTACTAAAATTCTTAAAATGTCTTGAAATTGTTGATGAAAGACTTTTTGTTGTTTTATCAGTCGAAAGAATAGTGCAAATTTTATTAAAACCAAGTTTTGATTGTTCTTTCACCAAAGTATTTAATTTTCTCTTTTCATTCAGTGGAATTACTGGTGATAGTGAATTCATCATTGCATTAATATCGGTTGTTCCAGTATTATGGCATTTGTTTAAAGGTACTTTAACATATTTCAACCCTTTGCCAATTAAAATGGATAAAAGATCAAAGTATAAGATATTTTAAGCATCTGCAATAAACTTGAATTTGTACGGTGTTGGGCCCGGACATGGTCAGGTGGTTAGGGCGCTTGACTCGTAATCTGAGGGTCGCGGGTTCGACCCCCGTCCCACCAAACATGCTCTCCTTTTCAGCCGTAGGGGTATTGTTATGTGACGGTCAATCCCACTATTCGTTAATAAAAGAGTAGCCCAAGAGTTGGCGGAGGGTGATGATGACTAGTTGCCTTCCCTCTAGTCTTTCACTGCTAAATTAGCTTTGCGCGAAATTCAAACCAATCTATTGTACTGTGTTTTATGTAGTGGAAACGCAAAATAATTGAGGCTATACTTTATAAACTTTTTTTTTGGAATGTTCATTAAAGTATGATATAAGTTTAATGTGTTTGTGTATGATACTTTCATATCGTTTTCAACACATTTATTTTACCTCTTTACCTGAACGTTTCATATTTATAGAGTTTTGAAGTTGAAAAAATCTAATATCTTATTATCTTTACACAGGAAATGAATATCTTGTCAGTATTATGTTTTCACACTATGACCAGAACAACAATGGATTACTAGAAGCTGAGGAACTATGGCAAGCTGGTGAACGAGACCACCTTGGTCGTCTGTCCACTGCATGTATATTGGCTGATATGTTACTTTTTGATGATCCCGATGAAGATGGCAAACTCAACATCAATGAGTTTTATCTTGCCTTTAGTAAGTTATACAGTAAGTTGTGTGAGGTTTTTCTGCTTTTTAACCCTTCTTTTGCAGCATTTTCTTTTCTTTCTAGTGGTGATACTTTTTGTTGGATTTGACATTGGGTTCACATATAAAGGCTTGAGCTTTTATAACCGAGTCAGTGTATTAATGCTTACAATGGTATTCTTATGCCGTTTGGACAAATGTGAATGTACACCCATGTAATTAAGGGAAAAAAGGGAATTCATGACCTCTTTGCTTTCCAAAAACACGTTATCCTGGCAGCAAGTTTAAAAGCTGCTCCATGTGTAAAATTTGTTTCACAGTATAATATCATCATGAACTGTTTGAACTCACAAAAGCAATGGTGATTGGATGCCATGGGGCAGGCAAGTCTGCCAGACAGAAAAACACAGCAAAGAGTAGTCGAGAGAAACAGATATGTAAACATGGCACTGGTAGTGAGTTTCATTAAGCAACTGGTACCATAGTCTGTACAAAAACAGTATGTATGAAAATATGTAGTATGTATTGAAATGGATTATTTTGAGTCAACTTTCAGGGGATCCAGTGGCTTTGTGAGCATGTTTCACTGGTATGAGCTAGCTTTCCCTCGTGAAATTTTATAGAACTGACTCATACCTGTTTTAGCAGGACAATGATTTATACTACACTACATACATTGTTATGGAGTGTTTTGTAGAAAAAAATTTTCTTAAGCTATTGTAGCTGACCCAGAGCCACAAACTAACTCCTACTGAGCCACTCTGGAATATTTTGGAGCTTCACTCACCTCTGGACTTGATGCACAATGCCACAGATGCTGATTTACAGGAAGAAAAGCAGGTTTTTAACAACACATATGCAAGTAACTGGTTGAAGTTATGTTGGTCAAAGCATAAAGAAGGTTTGGCCCAAATTAATTTGTAAAGCAAATAGCTTTTCTGTTGCAGAAAAATACAATATTACATATGTATGTAAAATTATATATGATTAACATTTCTATTAATGTAAATACAATATCGACCTGTACCTGCAGACTGTATCTTTATTGGCTCAATATTTTGCTATTACAGCTTTGTAAGGAGTTATTGATAACTTACAAGTTCACTAATCCAGGTTAGCAAACTTTTAAGTTATCAATAGTCCCTGACAAAGCTCTAATAGTGAAATATTAGCCAATAAAGATACAATTTGGAAGTACAGTTCATTATTATATTTTATTCAATAGAAATGTCTTGTAATAAGCTCCAGCTTACACTAAACAAAGTTAAGAACAATATATGTGATTGATGGTTTTACCTTTTAAAGTCTGTCTTGTGAGTTATATTAATCAAAAATATTATACTGCTGGTGCCCTTTATCAGACTTTTTTGATCTCTTAGTTATTTTTCAAACTCATTTCTATTATTAAACAAAATATGTTGTTCTGGTTTTACTGTGAACATTTCTTAAGTTTTTCAGGTCATAAATTAGTAGTACATTTTTTTAAAACTTTAATACAAGTTTTTTTATAATGACACAGTAAAAAGGTACCAACCTCTGCTACTTGAAAAATCCTGGAAAAAGAATTGGATTGTCAATATTATCACTTTGAAATCAAAAATCAAAAGGTGTTCCAAATTTAATAAACATATATATATATATATATATATCTAAAGTTAATTGTATGGTTACATGAGAAGCCACTATTTTATACTTTAAAACAAATTTGTGGTAACAGTCTATATATTGGTTATAAATAATACTTTAGGTTTAAGCATGCAGCTAATACAATTAAGACTGCTAGTTTACTTATGAAAAGATTTGGTTGCTTTTTTGTCACCTTATTCCATTTATTTCTTTTTCTTTTCTTGTTAATTTGATTTTCAGACAGTCTTGAATAGTTTCTGAGATATTAAGTAATGAAGAAATATTAATTTTTCAACTGTTTGTACATGTACAGGGTGATTATAAAGTTTTCCCAATTCAGCATATCATAGATCACAAATGTTATGGCATAGGAAGGTAAAATTGCACAGGGGTGTTTAAAAGCATCATGTGGATGGAAATGCCAAAGTTGTCATATGTTGCCACCAGGGGTGCCATTATGGCCTAACATCTGATCAATCACTGCAACTGTTCAAATTGTGCTCCTCAGCATTCAGAATGTGTTGCATCCATGTGAATGATGTGATAGTGGGCATTACAGCAACAATGCACATTCTCTCTGGTATGGTAGCCACTTCCTGTAAAATTGCATTCTTGAGGTCTGGAGTTGTGCAAGTCTTCCCATGGTACACACATGACTTCAGGTATCCCCACAACCAGAAATTAGCTGATATGATAGGTGCAGTGGACGAGGTGGCCATTCACAAAGAAAGTGACATGAAATGCTTCTGTCCTAAAAATGCTCTTGCAGGATGTGATTCATTAATATGCAGAAGGGCACTATCCTGCATGAAACTATAGAGTGTATCACATTTCGTTGCTGCCTGTGGCATAGGAGTCATGTTGATTGTGAGAATCACATGGTACCGTGTAGCATTGACTGTGCAGGTTTGCAGTATATATGCTGATGGTTCTTCAGTATGTACATTCCAATAACAAAATCAGCTGTGAAACCACACCATTTTGCATCATAGAGGTGTGTAGGAAATGTTACATGTGGATTAGTTTGTGATTAGATAATGCAGTTGCATGTGTTGATACTTCCAGAAAGGGTTAGGTATGCTTCATCAATCCATAAGCTATTGGTAACCCACTGGTCATTGACTTCCAGTCTTGCCAAAAACTCTAAGGCAGAATCAACATGTCCGGTTAAGTACATCTCCTTCAATGCTTGAACATGATGCACATTGTACAGAAACAATTGCAAAGTCAAGTGAAGATCCTTAAAAGCAGTTGAAATTGGAAAATCCAGACACCAGTGCACTGCTGCATTCACTTGCACTTGTATTGAGTCATTTTGCTGTGCATGGCTGACTTCAGCAATAATTTCAGTAGGAGTCAGTAGTCTGCCAGTATGCAGCTTATCACAAGTGGAACCTGTCATCCAGCTTTTTTTTTTTTATTAGATAATATAACTACAGTAGAAGACACCTTAATTAAAGTTATTACTACTTTAATTAGGTAGTTAACCCGTAAAACCTAA